TATACTTTCGCAAATTGTTTTGAATGAAGCCTATTTCGTTTAATATTAATATAATATACATATATCGGAGCTATATAACTTTAGATCATCAAAAACAATAACATATAAATACTTTATATATGAATAAATGAGCATGGCTCTTATTTAATAAGCTCATTTTATTTACATATTTGATTTAATCATTTTGTAAATTTATTTATTTTTATTGCATAGATACAATCAGCGTTGTCTAGTAATATATATGCATTGCTTAAAATACATAATTTTCTGACATCCCTCGGAGCGTAAAAAGTTCCGGTTAGCTTTCGTAATATGGCGACACCGCTCTCTTTCTCTCTCTCTATTTTTTTTGGCTCTGTCCTTCTCTCGCCTTGTTTGTCATGCACTCTTCTATTTATAAAACGTTTAGCCGGCAAACACTCGATCAGCTGTTCAAAGCGGAACAGCTGCTTCACGTAACCCGTAAGAGAAATGGAGATTCTCTTAGCATACAAAACACTCTTGACTGACGAGCAACCTAAGCTGCTTATGAACTCTATTAATATCGTTTACCGCGGCTGTGGTTTGTGTACGAGCTAAAAGCTTTAGCTACAGTTTAGAGATCAGAGCTTAAATGCTACATCGCGATTGTCTTTAACACAAAAACATTCAAATATTGATAATACCACATGCAAAATTTTTAATTCCAAAATCCCATTAAATAGCTTTTATACGCTTTTATACACTTAAAATGCTTTCGAATTGAACAACTCGTATACCTTACATATAGCATTTATACATCAGCAACAAAGTCCACCCACAATTACGACAATTATCCCTCAATTATCAGCCTTAGTTATGCCTGCCAACCAGCTGCTGCTCTGCTGCTTTGTCGCTCTTCTGTGCCCCCTTTTCGTAGAGCTTTTTAATGTCTTGTTAACGACCTGTCAAGGTTTTCTTTCCTTGCAAAGCTCTTTTAGCTGCGACAGAATCGGAAATGTTACCGCAGGGCCAACAGATGCTGAATTGAAAAAGCTTTTCATTCATAACCTTGCACAACAACAACAACAGCAGCAGCAACAACAATTACAATAACAAACATTTCTTAAATGCAGCCCGCAAGTGCTTCACTCTGATTCCTTTCTGATTCTCCCAATTTGAAATTATTGCCGTTATGCTTCTTAATATAATGTTTTAATTTTTGTTTCTGTTAGCGTTGCTTTGAAACTTTTTTTATGCCCGTGGGCGTTTCGTCTATAATCGCCTTATAGTTTTACTCTAATGAACGGCTGTTCCTGCCAGGTTGCTGGTGCTGCTGCTTCCTCTTCTTCTCTCACGAGTTTCGCCTGCGCCTACGCAGCAAACGAAGAGGAGAGCACAGTCGGATGCCAACTGTTTCCAGTTAGCTTCTACATGTGCTAAGCTTTGGTACAGCACAGACCAGCAGAGTGAATTTATGCAGCAACTCATTTATTGAAGCTAGCCGTTGGCGTTACCGTCGGCATCGACGTCAGCGCCACTTTCAGTGTCTAGGTCTAGGCAGCAACGACAATGACAGCGACAGATTTTTTCCTTTAGTTGAAGGTGTCAATGTGTGTTGGCGCTTGTATATCTCTATGGGTGTTTCACTTGATCTGAAGGTCAACCAAACTGTCAAAATCCCAGTGGCATGCGGTTTTTATATGCCCAAATTATCCCCTGGACTTGTTGTATGACAGCTTCGGGTTAAAGTAAATGTACAATGAGAGAGCCGAGAGAGATATTACTCAACCATTATATTATGTTTGTATGCATAGTATATAAGAATATCATTCTTTGAACCGTTCAGAAAACTGCATTATTTATCCTTGTTAATGGCTGTTAAATAAACTCGAGCAGTTTTGGATGCTCTGCTGTTTATTTGGTGAGGCCAACCTTATGCTTAAGCGCGTTACTCGCCCACAAAGATATGCAGCATATTCTGCATACACATGCATAATTGAGCGAATAAATATTCAAGCATTCAATTTACAATAGGTTATACATTCGCACCCACCCACACACACACGCAAAAGCTTCGAATGCTGTCTCCGTCGAAAACTGCGGCGCAAGTTAATCAAATTGTAAATCAAACGCAGCTGAAACGCTGACGGTGCTGCCAGCGCCATCGTTGCGAGCAGCGCTGCTATAAAATACACACTTTATGGCAAAGGCCGCGCGCGCGCTTGCCAAAAGCTTTTTTCGCGCTCACGTAAAAGCTTTGCTCTGTGTGGGTGGGCCGATGATGGCGACGTCGGTGTTGCTTGTGCTGCTGCTGTTAGTGCTCTGCTTTCAGTTGCTTTCGAATTGTGCGCCATGACGGTTGCTCCATGTTAACCAACAATCAATTATCACCCAAACCACCAACAACAACAACAGAAACACCCACATCTACACGAACTAATACAACTAAAGCCAACAACAACATCAGCAACATCGACAAGAGCTCAATAAAGCGTTTTCGCTGCAACTCAAATTGTGTAAGTCGCGTTCTAAAAACGATTTGTAAATTTAATCAAATCTCAATAAAAACTTCATAGTGCTGCGTGCGTTTTATTCACGTATCGTATTTTTTGTGCGTGTCCTTACTGCAGTGCGCGTGTCCTTCGTGTCTCTTGTGTCGCCTAAAGTGTTAAAAACAATTCAAAATGAAATTCCTATAAGAGCACGCGTCATTTAACGCCAACACAAATTTTAAAATATTCCTCAAAATGTATGCATGCCTATGGCTGTATAGATAAACTCAGCGACAAGGACCTTGCGGTGGCCAATTACTGTGTGGCAATTCTAGCACCGACTGCTGCATGCAGCGCTCAAACATATGCCCCGTTCTCAGCCTGGCCAACTGTGCAAACTGCCAACTGCCATACATACCCTGTCATAGTCGAGTTTACGCTGATTTCATTACCAGCTAATTAACTGTACTATGCATTCCCAGTACTGACCATCCACAACATCCATTTTGCTGACCTCCGTGCCGTGTCATGCGACGCCTTTTTGAACTGAGCTAAAGGGAAATTTTCTATCCATGCATGTTTGCATCACAAATCGGATAGTTGGAGTTATAAAGAGTGTTTACAGTAATTCCAATTAACGGATTCCTAATTGGAATTTTCAATTTAAATGTTCTTTTGGTTAATATTCTGCTTATAGTGTTGGGTAATTTTAAAATGAGTCTACATTATTTGCTTAGCTTATATAAAAGATAACGTTTCTCAAATTAATGTAACTATTATATAAATATATTTATTTGAAGTCGTGAACTTGAACAAACTACTACACTAGACTTTACTATATAACCTATAAATTACTCGACTATATAACAATATATATTGCAAACAGTTTTATTAGCTGTCAAAGCACATCAGATATAAGTACAATCTTTAGTAGGCCATACTTCAAATTGACTCCAACTCTAGTTTTACAAAGAACTCATAATGTGCTCCAGCTTAAATTGATAACTTTAGCAATATACATTCGGACTTGAGATTTCCTTTTAGAGGCTTTCCTTTTTAAGCCTTTAGATTTTCTAATTAGTTTTTTAGTTTCAAAAAAACATCTTCTATTCATCTGAAATTTACATAGACTAGAAATTCCACTTCCACGAATTTAAGTATTTAAGTGAAATTAATGTCAATCTTGATATTATTTTGAAAGCATCCACTTTCTAATTCGAATTATGAGCTCAGAGCGGAATAGATTTTGCTCCTTTAATTCTTAAGGCTTGCCGAGCAATCAAAAATAGAAATTTTGATTGAGCGCATTAGATTGAACCAAAACTTTAGTTGCATATCCTATATATAACTGTTCCTTCTTCTAGATGGAAAGCCGTTAGTTCTAGCTTGAGTTTCAATGTATACGCAAAATAGGGATTTTGCATGCGCCCAGCTGTTTAAGACTTTTGTTTGGTTAACACAAATTTGCTTCACATGTCATATGCACTTCCCTTAAGGGATCCCATTGTTGTCTCTGGCATGTTGCTCTATAGGGTATATAGTCCATTCACATAGGTATATGCAGTTATGCACGTAGGCACTGCTGGCAATTGCTGCAATTGAGCTCTGCGCCAACATTTAAGGGGTCTCCAATCGTCTTGGATCCAAAGGTAGTCCACAAATATTTGGACAAAGTTTTTGGGCATCCTGACCTCTACAGCCACGACCCGAGCCCCACAGGCTTACTGTGCTCTAGCCAAGCGTGGCCAAACGAAAAATTAATTCCAGCTTCCGCTGGCCCGGCACAGCCGAGCAGCAAAGCCTGGCAAAACTTTTTCCTGCCTTCTTCTTTGCTATTCTCAGCCAGGCCCATTGTTATTGGAATGTCTATGCTTTCGCTGCCCTCTTTCACTTTTTTGCGCACGTCCTTATGTCCTTGCTATCGGTATTTTAATTTTCCCATCAAATATGTAACGCACAGTGAATGGCATTTATTTTATTAATAGCTGTTCGAAACTGAGCTCTTATGGACTATACATAATTTATATAGAAATAAGTCTTTCACTTTTCGCTTTTGCTGCTGTCATCCTCTCGTGGCGCGGGCCCGAGCCAGAGCTGGGGCCAATGTTACGAAATCTATATATCTAATAGTGGGTGGAAGATATGTGATATCGCATTATTAACTTTACACGTCGAGCATCGAGTATTGTTATATTATTATACTAGCTTTATTTTTATATATTTTAAGCTAGATATTATTCAATATAAATTTCATTTACTCGACTGTCTTCCCTCAAACAATATTTTATAGTATATCATGGATAAATATAAATAATTATAATATTATATAGCTTGGAATTTTCAAGATATATGAACATGCAGGAGAACGGAACTTATAGGAACTCATAGGAAAGTTCTCAAAGTTATATTTATGTTATATTTATATCAATAGTATATAATAATTAATCAAAGCGCTTAAAAAGAGCTTGATTTATTTTCAGCCGAATCAATATAGAAAATACTTCGCTCTGTTAGGGCATTCAGCGGTTGATACTCTTAGCTTGCATTTTGTGCTTTCGCTTTTTTATTCTTTGGCCCGTTTGCCTTTTGTTATAGTTATTGCTGTTGTTACCTTAGTATCCTTGTCCTTGGCTGGCGCTCGTCAATGCTCAACGTCGCTTTTCGCTTTCCTGTCTGTTTGCCTTGTGCCTGGTTCCTTCCTGGTTCCTGCTCGACGTGAACGTGCGATGTTTCCTGCTCACACAGATTCGCTTGTCCTGCCGCGTCCTGTGCCGTGTGTTGCGTGCTTGCCTTGGCTCTCTTTTACTGCTCGGCTTCCTCGGCTCGCCTCCTCCCGTCTCTGCCAGTGCCTCCGGCCTTATTTCTTTTCCCTTTTGCCTTTTGCATAACAAACAATTAACGACTTAAAGTCGAGGATTTAAACACAATAACAATTAAAAAGCAACAATAATAAAAGAGATAACAAAACTCTGGCTGGTAAGTTTAGCAATTTTATTTTATACATACATATATATATTTGTGCTTCTATTATATTTTTATATTATATTGTATATGGCGAACAACAGGTGCTCAATCTTATTTCTGTGTGCTTTCCTCATGCAAAACCATGCCATTGAGGCAGCAATTTGATTGATTGCTTCAACATTGCACATATGGCCCCATTTGCCACACATGGCGTATGCGTGATATGACGCAGTTTAGCCTAATTCAGTCAACTTCAGTCACTTTCAATTGATTTCAGTCTAGGATCAACTTGCTCACAGCTTGACCAATCAAATAGGCTATATAAGGGAAAACTTAGATAAGCAGGTACTCGACTATACATTCATTTACCTGATGCTGACAAATCAGTTAGAGAGATTAGAAGTTTGAGCATCACATAAATATAACTATCCCAAATCAAATGAGCAACTAGTTATATTCATTTTATTTATTTATTTATCATTTTTAGTTTTTAATTGATTTTCACATATTTTGGGCTGAACGAATTCACTTTAAACACAGTCATAACTGAGAATCGTATAAATCGCTCATGGATGTGCAAGAGAAGGTTCACCAAGGTTCCCTCGATTTTCAATACAATTATTTTTATGGGTCACTGAGCTCAGGAAAATCTGCACCTTAAGCCATAACCGTTTTTAATCTTTGCTTCCAGCCAAAGCTAAGTCATCAAACGAAAGTTTTCCCTGTTTATGTGCTTTAAACATGACCACAAATTCATCAGTTTACGTCATTTTCATTTATCAAATAGAACAGAATCATCTGCTAGAAAATCAAGTAAATTGACATTGAAAGCTGACCAAGTTTTCCCTTTCTCACTTTATTTCTTTTTGATGCCAACTGAATGGTTTTAGCAGTTGTTTTCTTGGAATTTGAAGAGATTACCAAAGGTAGAGCCACGGCCAGCTCGACTATATTATAAATCAAGCTAATCAAATCCATCAATCAACTGGAAAAAACTCAAGTAAAAATATGTATTAATAAAAATGGCCCTAAATATAAACAGAATATTGTATGTAAAATTGGCCTGAAATTTCAGTTTTACAAATCTCGTTTTTTGTTTAGAGACCAACAGGGGAACGGAAAAATGGATATTTCACAAATCCACCCATCGAAACAATACACTCCATTTATAAAAATTATTTCTTGGATCAGTAGTCATGTGCAGCCTTTTCGACTGTATCCCTGAGCGAATGTAGATGCTTATAGTAAATGCGGGTTGGTAAGCTATATAGAAAATATGTATGCCTTGAGTGGCAGGGCGTGGCAAGGGTGTTTCATAGAAGTTTGATAATTGAATTATCGTTGAGCTCCGTCGCCTTCGAAACTGACTGCATCTTCCACAGTTCTGGTTGAAGCAGCAAAATGCTAGAATTCAATTACTGAGAGCCGCTGCAGGCTTAGAGCATGTCGTCGAAATTTCTCCTTCCATGGTTTGAGAGCCGAAAACTTCCTAATTTCATACTGAACTAACTTCATGTTGAATAGACCTATAAATTAAATGGTGCGAGTATTATGGTAGGTCATTCTTATCACATTCTTAATCTGAAATTGTCTGCAACAAACAGAGGAACAAGTTTATAATATATTTAGCACGTCATCAAAAGGAAATATGTATAGAAATCAAATACTACTCTGAACCGAACTAATAAAAAATCACATTTAGAACGGCTCAAAATTTACATTTCGGTATGTTTAAAAATATAAATGAAATCAAAAAGTGATGAAATTATGCAGTGTAAACTACGAAAGGTAAATATATTAGATTCCTTGTCATGAATACTCATTAAAATACCACTGTGGTAATTACAAACTGCTTCGAAAGTCCTAGCTCTCATATATTCATTAGATAGATTTTTATTGTCACTCTGACCTGATCAGCCATGTTAATGAGTGCGTTATAGGCTCAGACGTCTTGAGTGAGTTTACATTGGAGCGAGCTCAAGGCATCATAGCTAACGGAGTTCAAAAAAAGGAGCGAGAATAAATGATTACTTAAAATGAAATGGAAAAGATGCCAAAGCGTCAAGGCGTCGAATCACTCGAGATTTTGTATGCATTTTCTACGTCGTATTTGCCTGGCTTGACAAAATATACAAATGTATGTGCATGACTTTACTCTCTATCACTTACTCTTGCTTCTCCCGATGATCTTTCCCTCTATGTGCGCACAAGCAATTGCGCAGAAAAACCGAAATTGGTTCGCGACAAGAATGCACACACACACTTACAGCTCTGTGCTACATGCATGATCATTTTTGTGTCTGTATGCGAACTTACCAACTCTTGTACTCACACTCCCACTCCCTCAATTCCTTTTTGCTCAGCTGAGCATATACATGCTGTCTGAGTCATACACAGGCGCACTCATTCACTCAACCCGTTCTCGGCTTAGCTTCTATGTCACTCAACATACTTATGTACATACATATGTATATTGCGAACTGTTGATTCTAGAGCATACATACATACATACATATGTATTGGTAAAACAAATGACTTGACGCGCTCATGTTAGTTGCAATTATGAAAATGATATGCATATTTTGAAACTATTAAAATAGACATAAATTGCGCGCATAGGAGCCGAACCCGAGTTTTCTTGATCGAGCGTCCCGCTGCTATTACAACACCACTTCTCTTTTCAAAAATGTGATGGCAAAAATGAACAAGGTTCACTGCTGCAGCGCCATCTAACAAATCTAACTGTTAGGAGTTTCGAGCTTTTTGAGCGTGTGTGTGAACACGCATAGGAACACTGTCGATTGTCTTAACGGAATTTAATGAAACTTTCAACATATGAGCTACGTATTCTATTGCATATTTGACATTATTTTAAAAACTGAAAAAAAAAAAAAAAAAACATTTACAATTTTATTTTATATATTGTTACATTCACTGAGTCGTTATTCAAAATATAACAAAAATCGAAATTGTATAAAAAGCATTTGAATCTATGTATGTTTAAGATCTGGAGACACTAGCCTCAAAGGTGTGGGAGATATAATTTTAAAACTGATTTAAGGTTTTTAATCTATTAAAATAACGGGATGAGTTATCTATTGTTCGGGATAAACTTAACATTTTCAAAAAAGTCTCTAGTCTCTAGCTCTCATATCTTCTTAGATCGACGCGTTCAAAAATACGGCCAGACGGACAGACGGTAAACTGACGAACGGACAGACAGGCAGGACTAAATCGACTCAGCTCGTCATCCTGATCAAGAATATAAGTCACCGCATTCCCTCAAAATGATCGTATGTTGATTTTTTGCGAAATTGAGATTTTAATGCAGAACGATTAGAAAGCGTCTATCTTACATACTTGCAAAAGATAAGGACTCAATTCGCTCTAGTTCAGGGTATACTAACCCAATAACTACTTCGATTCATCCTCTAATACAGAGCCAGATGACTCAAATTAAAAGACAGTAAAGTTCTGTTTCGAGGCAACGCAAATGCTGTGCTTAAATTAAATTACGTTCTACAATCGCTTACGAAATTATAAAATTCAATTCGCCGACCTTCGTTAGTATTTTCTATTAAGCAAAGATTAGAGCTGGGTCATGACTTTCTTAAGCTCTTTTAGCTCCAATACGAGATGTTTATATCAATATATTCTGGCGTATTCCATATATATATATATATATATACATATATATTACCGCCTCACGTGCGTGGCCTAGTGCCAAGTACACAGGATGCACGTCCTTTAGCGGCCACTCTTTGCACTGAGGAAAGGCTGTGAACTTTGACCTTAACGCCAGCGGCCAGGCATGGCCATTGCAACAGCAATAACAATAGCACCAACTGCGACAACAATAACAAAAGTAAGAACAACAGCAATGCTTAGCTAAGCTATTAAATAGTTTGTGTATTTCCCCTTGCATCCTGTAGCCTGTATCCATTCTATCCGATTCTTTGCCTTGTCGACAACTGCAAGCAGCTCCTCCTCCACACTCACACACACAGACACCTCTGCCACGCCCCCCTTGGCATTGCTGCATATTGTTTTTATGGCGTGTTCTCTAACAATTTTTACGACAACTGCAATTGCAGCTGTATGTGTATGTGAACCCTCCAGTCTGATGCGGGCAACATTAAACGAATTTATTTGTTGAATAATATAATTCTAGCCGTCCAATCTTAATGAAACTTTCAGAACATGATCATAATGTTCAAATGTTTGTACATTCCAAAGCACAAGTCTCTACTACTTGAAATACGCCTTTTACAAAGGTG